GGAAAATGCAAATTTAATCAGTGAGCTACTACTGGGTGCCTGTAAGAATGGCCAAAATCCAGAAAATTGGCCAAACACCGAATGCTGATGAGGACGTGGAGAAACCAGAACTGTCATTCATTGCTGTTGGGAATAACAAATGGTACAGCCACTTGGGAAGACAGTTTGGCAGTTTCCCGAAAAATAAAGCCTACTTCTACCATATGATCCAGCATTCTCATTCCTTAGGATTTACCCAACCTCCAAACAGATGTTTATAGCTGTAAACCAAAAATAAAATTCCAAGCCCCACAACTGACTGGGTGAAACGCCCTCTCGGCCAGGGGGACCCAAAGGAACCTGAAGGTTCAGGCCATGATGGGCAGTAGGGGTCAGACATGCCTCATTCTCTCTTCCCTTTGGAATTCAGGCACAGCTGACCAGCTTTAAAACAGAGATCTTAAGACTGACAGAACAGACTCTAGAAATAAGATCAAATTCCAACCTGATGTAGTATAGCATCACATGACAGATAGCAGGCCATGAAAGACATTGAAATATTTTACCCAAAAATGTATTTCTTTGACATATTTTGGAATGGCCCTGCACAGCTGTCTCTTGTGGAGGAAATCTGCATCGTGTAGAGAATCTCCTTCCCTTTCCAGGCCGTTTCTGAAGAGTCCAGCGCCTTTTAGAGGTCTGAGTAAGAAACATTAGCCATCTATTGTCCCTAAGGGAAGCCATCTATGGGACTTCATCTACATAACAAGAACCTTGGGCCAGGCACGGTGACTCACGCCTCTAATCCCAGCACTTTGGGAGGCCGAGGTGGGCAGATTCCTGAGGTCGGGAGTTTGAGACCAGCCTGACCAACATGGAGAAACCCCATCTCTACTAAAAATACAAAAGTTTAGCTGGGTGTGGTGGCGCATGCCTGTAATCCTAGCTATTCAGAGGGTGGAGGTAGGAGAATTGCTTGAACCTGGGAGGCGGAGGTTGCAGTGAGCAGAGATCACGTCATTGCACTTCAGCCCGAGCAACAAGAGCAAAACTCTGTCTCAAAAAAAAAAAAAAAGAACCTTGATCTTCACAACCTTTTAACCTAACCAAGACCCTCCTTTCTGTTGATTCCAAGAGTTATTTTTGATAATAACTCTTTCAACCAATTGCTAATCAGAAAATCTTTGAATTCACCTATGCTTTGTAAGCCATCCCAAACTCTCTCACATTACTGATTTATGTCTTATGTCCCCCCGAAACGTATAAAACCAAGCTGGAACTCAACTGCCTTGGGCACATGTTCTCAGGAACTCTTGAGACCATGCCTCTTGTGATAGTCAATCGTATTTGTCTCAGAAAAAAATCTCTTCAAATACTTTACAGTTTGGGTTTTTGGTCAACATAGCAGATGTTTATAGCAGCTTTATCCATAATTGCCACAACCTGGAGGTAACCAAGATGTCCTTCAGCAGGTGCATGGATACAATACATCCAGACAATGGAATTTTTTCTGCTGTAATGTTGCAGGATGCAGAGGACTAGAGAGACCAGTACAGGGGAATAGAGGAGGATATTTATTTTAAGGTATGCACCAGCTCAGTGGATTCACATCCAAAAACCTGAGCCTTGAACAAAGACAGAGTGGAGTTTTTATAAGCAGGCTTACAAAAGCAAAAAAAGGCAGTCAATCATAGAATGCATAACTTGTGGCCTTGCCTAGCTGGTGGCCTTGTAGCTGCATCAAAAGAAAAACAAGAACTGGCTAAATACAGACATTTGTAAAACATAGTCATGCTTAATTAAGAGGCCAGGGAAAGGAGTAACAGTAAAGGAATTTCTCTCTCTTTTTTTCCTCAACCTTGCTCTGGAGGTGGGGGGCTGTCTGGAGCCCATTCCTTTGGCCTTGGCTTTTTGGACAGTGTTATCTTATAACTGTCTTTGAAGTGAGCTGCTAAGCAGAGGAAAACTTGTTTCTTTTTCTATTTAACCCTTACTACATTTTTCTCCCTTTGAGGACTTTTGTAAAATAAGTTTAATAGAAGGCCTCACTGTTACTTAATTCTGCATGAACAGACAAGTTTTCTTCTTTGGGCAAAGGTTGATTTTTACACAGAGCCATTAGCTGAGTGGTAATTTGCCTAGCTACTATTGCCTCTATAGTTGATTGAATGCTTCTAACAAGGAGAGGTGAGAGATGGGAGAGTATTAGGCAACTTCCTAGTACAGCCAGAACTACTCGTATTAAAGTCTTGAACCCTCCGAAAAATGAAAACCAATCTCCAAAGGAAAAATCTGGAGACCACCCTTTCCAAGTTTGAACTGGAACATGGGCTAATTTTCTCATTCTTGCAGTTATTTCTAGAATTGCCTTTCCACTGTCATTGATTTCTGGGCAGCAATTAGTTACATTGAACTTTCCACATCCTCCTCCTACTTCCTGGGCTAGGAGGTAGTCTAAAGCTAATCTATTCTGATAGATAGCATTTGTCATTTTTGTAGATTGCTGGGTTAACAGATCTGAAGCCCTTGCTGTTTCATTAGTGATGATCTCAAGCACTATCTGAAAACTTATGATGCAGTTAAGCATGTAAATAGGAGTACAGTAACCCTATAACCCATCTTCCCCCCAGGTAGCTGGCGCATAGTAGTGAGTTATTCTCTCAGGGGGCCATTCTTCATCTTTCCAGTCCCCTATGGCTATGTCTTTCTTTACACTCCTTGTATATCTTTCTCTGTTCTCATCATAGACAGGATATCCTAAGGCTTCTCC